CTACATTAAAATTTAAGCGACGAAAAGACTGCAAAATATTTGCCATTTATAGGTTGCGATGAATGTGGCAGCTTTTAAAATTATATTGAAATTAAAATTATATTAAAATTATTGGTGCTGTAATTTGGTGAATTGTGGAAATTTTCAAAACCAATAAAAAATTTGCCGAAAAAAGCAACGATTTTGAATGTATGCTTTATTTCACTTTCATTCATTTCGAATCAATCATACATCATCACTTTTTGATCTATGATTCATTTCATTTTAGTATATTAAATTTATTTCTTTCCACAAATAATTACATTTTGTTATCCGTACCATCGTTTCATGATAATCTAATGAAGTGTAGCAAAATTATCAAGATTATTCTAATTTTAAAACTTTTACAATTATGTGAATTGATATTATTAAGAGTAAATAGAAATAACAAACTGTTTGAACTCTATATGAGAATGAATTTTTACTGAAATAATTTCTCTAAACCACTCTTCCTTTTTCATTATCCATAAGTTTTGTTAGGTTTCGCAAATTTGATTTCGCGGTTATTGAAGGACAGGAATCTCTTCATTGCACACATCCCTCTCTCTCTCTCTCTCTCTCTCTCTCTTACCTTGTTTTGTCTGATGAATCTTTTCCAATTCTTGAATTATCCAACCATATCATCGAGAATACTCTATACTTCTATCAGTGAAATATTAGAAATAGGGGTATATCTTAAGTGTTAAGAAAAAGACGATCATTTTGCAATGTTTCGCCTATCTTCCTATGCCTTAACTACTAATACCTTAACATTCCATCTCTTTACACCTACAAGAAGGCACCTCTCATCATCCCTCTTCTTCATACGATCATTTGTTGCCATGGAATCAACTCATTTCGCTTGCTCAATGAATTCTGCAGCATACTGAACCGGCACAACCTTCATCTCTTTCTCTAAAAAGCACTCTTGACCTTTTACCCTCATTACTCTCTTTCTCTTTCATTTATTGCCCAAAATATCCTTTCCATTTATTAATTAGTTTTTTTTGTGAAAGTTATAAAAATGTTCACAATTATAGTTTGTTTATGTTTAATTTTTAGGTATATTAATCAAAATTCATTAAATATTAGCAACATTCAATTGCAAAAACAATCTCTTCCAAGTTATTTGAGAATTTTGTTTATAAGTTCCAATACCAAAATATCTTTTCATATATATATCATCTTAATATCATAAAATAAAAATAGATGGTAATTTGCACTACAAAAATTTGTATACCATTAAGGTAAAGAAAGTTAATTGGTTACAATTTAAACCAATCTTTCATACTAACGTTTATCTATCTCATTTTATATTTTCAATTTCTCTACTCATTTATCTCATTATCAGTAATGATAACATCATGTTAATCGAATAGCAAAGTGATTTTGTCTTCCAATTTTTCGTTTGTTGAATACTGCTGGTAATGACTGTTGCTGCTATTCGATCGATGACCTCGCAATCTATTCTACAGGCTTTTAAAATACAAATTCATTATTTGATATAATTATTCAGTTAATGTTCATAGTTTACAACGTAAGTGAAGAAAACATTGCAGTACTGCTTGCACATAAACAAATTTATAAATGAATTTTGTAAATGCATCCAGCTAGCAAGCTGTTTCGAAAATTGCATCCATTTAGTCGATAAATGTGATTTCTAATCGCTTATTTTAATAGCCTTGATTTTGATGATTAATATGTTTCTTTTTTTTTTTTTTTGAAGGGAACAGTTTTATGGTGCACAAACGCACACATACATCACAGACGTACATTATCCGGTTTTTTTTTTTTTATCAGAATATGATGTCATCTCTCCTATCAATATTTACTTCACTGCTATACCGGTGAAGTATACATTGATAATAGACAGTTTCCTGTTCTTTTTTCCTGTTTTCCCGGAAATATTTATCATTTTCAAAATTTCAACTTAATCGCCAAACACACACATAAAACAGACGATGATATTAACTTGAACTTCTGCTAATGTTTCTACATATAAATTTCGAATATTTTGGAATTTTTTGGAAAAGCAAAAGATAGCGAAAACTTTACAAAACAGAATATTTTGTTTTCTAAAATATTTTAAACTATGATATCATCATTTCATTCCCTCATACACTAAAATAACATGTGCAATTATCAATAATGTAAATGACAAAAAAGCAGTTGTCTGAAATTTTCGAGAAACAAATCTTTGATCCATTGAAATTTTTAAAAAAAAAAGCATAGAAAAAAAAGAAAAAATATTGAATTGCAACAACTGTACCAATGTAAATAACAATTGTTCGGTTTTTTTTATTAATCTAAAAAGTTCAGTGAATCATAGAACATTGCGATATTGTTTCATTTTATCCCATTAGAGGAATACTTCAGTAGCAATCATTTAACTTTTTTTTTTTCAATTCACAACTGTTTAAACTGCCAATGGCTTATATCAAACTATTAATATACCTATTAAATTTAAATCTGCAAAATGATTTCTTTTATTTCAATATCAAATGAAATTTTACTAGTTGTATGTATATAATTAATCATAGGTGAAGTATTGTAATAAATTTTTGAAAATTAAAGCAAGAAAAAAATTGTCGCACTTCATTTCAAACATTTCAATACGAAAAGAAAACGTCAAACTAAAGATGAATACATGAAAGAAAGGATGAGGAAATTTCCTATCCTGAGTAATATTAAAAAGAAACGAGGAAATTTCTTGTCCCGAATAATATCAAAAAGAAAAGAATTAAATTTCTTGTCCCGAGTAGTAGCAAAAAGAAAAGAGGCTTTTTTTTTTCCTTTCTAATTCTCTTTATCGTGCTGCTGTATTGTTTCTTCAACCATCCAATAAAATATTTTCCTTTTTCCTTTAAAACTTTTTTTTTCCCCGATATCATAAGATTCTAAAATCATAAGATTCAAACATTTGAAAATTCTCTGTCATCGACAAATGTCACACTGATAGATATGTTTGAAAACTGGAAAGCAATCAATATGCTTGTTTACATTCTTTTCATTCGACATCACACATATTCAATTCCCCTTTCCTTTTCCCATTCCTGTCTCCACTTACCCCTCAATCCACCCAATCGTTCCGTCATTCATTTATCCAATCAATCAACCAACAGAGCAATATGTAAATGTATTATTGTGATCTTTTTCCCGCTTCTTATACATTTTTATTCTCGAGAAATCACAATGAGAATACGATGGAGGTAGTGACGGTGCTGCATAATTCTTTTGAATTCTTTGATATTTTTTGCTAAACTCTTCGTTAATTTTACATTGATCTCAGTATAGCAGGAAATATCTGCAAGAGAACTTGCTGAGAGATAAAATAAGGAATTCATCTTAGGTTTGTCATCTATTTAGAAATAATCTCTTAATGAATGCCTATATATATAAGTTACATAATGCTGGAAATACGTCTTATTTTAGCAATAATATTTGCATGAATTTTGCATATATGCGTGACTGTAATCATACTGTATTTTAATACTGTAGGCCGTATTTTGATACGGTATAAGTCGTATTTGGTACTGTATAGACCGTATTTTGATACGGTATAAACTATATTTTATATCGTATAAAACCGTGTTTTATGCCATATAAAACCATATTTTATGAATGGTTTAGTTTATACTTGGAAAGGAACGCGTATTACACAGAAAAATATACATTGATAATGATAGATTTTCATCTGCGTAACGCATAATAAATAGCTGTTCCACATCAATTGAACTGCAAGATGACGAGTTATAGGAGCGAGTGGGTGGGTAAGTGAAATGATTTTAAATGAGCTCATTCTTTGTTCTCCTCTGCTCATTGTAGTTTTAGCTGTTATCAGCGATATGTTTAGATTGTCATATCACTTTACATTTTGTGAATTCCAGACCGAATAGAATTTAATGTGTATTCGTTTTCTTAATTGATTTGCAGCATTATAGAATCATTCATAAAATGCAATTTTGTATTATGATTATAGTCATGTATGTATGCAAAATTCATGTAAATATTCTTACTGAAATAAGATAGCATATTTTACATTTCCGTTTTTAGGTAGGAATATGGTTTTTTTTTTCTGCAATTTAATGAATATGGTTTGTTTTACCATGCATATGTTTTTTAATTTATGCGAACACTTTTAAGAGAAAAAAAAAATTCTTTGGAAATAAAATTCTTGAAATGAAAAATTTATAGAGAAACAAGAAAAAATTTGGTTAAAATTTGATGTAAATTATTAGTAATTAGTTTCTGAAATGATGTCACCGATACATACGAATTTTTGATGAGTGCAATATGTTTTGTCGTTTGATTGATTAGTCGATTAATTGGCAGAATAATGAAAATAAGAAGGACATAAAATCGATATTGAAAGTAGTGTAGATTTGAAAATTTAAATGGAACAAATTAATTTGTTTTTAAATCAAGAAATAATAAATGTAATAACTCTTATCATAGATTGTGTATAATATAGGAAAATGTTACAACATTTCATCGTTATGGGTAGATCGAGATTATCTTGACATAAAATATTATTGGGGTCAGCATTGAAAAATTTCGTCAATCATTTTATTATCAAAGAAAAAACTGAATTTTATAGAAAAAAAAATTAAACTTTTTGAAATCGTTTAGTTTTATTGAGGAGGAAAGAAAAACTTTATATCATAATGTGATCATTAAACTATTTAATCAAAGGATGAATGGGAAGTTTTGTTGAAAGTATTTTGTTTTACTGAAAAAAAAAACATGACTGGATCATCAAATAATTTAATTAATGGATCACTAAGAACTTTATACATCAAATAATTTAATTAATGGATCAGTAAGAACTGTATAATAATCATTTTTTATATATCTTTTTTTCATTTTTTCCGAGAGAAAAAAAAAAAGAAAAGAAAAATGAAAGTTTCGCGCGTAAAATTTTATATTTGTTTTTGTGATTATATAATTTTTATAAAAGTTTAAATTTTATAGAAAAAAAAAACATGCCGTCTCGTTCACTTGCCGAATTTAAAGATACATCGAAATTGGTATTTTTTTTTCCTTAAATTTTTTACATTTTAAAATTGTTCACATTCATCTAATGGTTTTCTGGTTTCTTTTTCAATTTCAAAAAGATGCATTAGTTTTTCTAATTATCAATTTTGTTTTTTCTTTTTTCAGCAAATTACTGAAGCGATCATACATCAACTCAATAAAATACCAATTATCAAAGGGCATTTTGAAAGTTTGCCACAAAAAGTTCAGTTGTTTGTTGCGGAAAAAGCTGATCTGGTTACACCCCGTGCGATTTATATTTGTGATGGTTCCGAAACAGAGTACAAGGAACTGATTGGAGAATGCTTAGAAACAGGTGTTTTAACACCGTTAAAAGCATACAAAAACAATTATCTATGCCGTACAGATCCACGTGATGTTGCTCGTGTTGAATCGAAGACATGGATGATTACGACGGAAAAATACGATTCAGTTTGTCATACGCCGGAAGGAGTAAAGTCAATCATGGGCCAATGGATGTCACCAGAACAATTTGGCAACGAGTTGGATGATCGTTTTCCGGGTTGCATGACTGGTAAAAAAAAAAAAAATATTTTATTAATTTTGCAACAATTTTACCTATTTTCATCTATTTATATCAATGTTATCATGAATGAATGTTACTCTAATATTTTTCAGGTCGTACGATGTATGTTATACCATTTTCAATGGGTCCAGTTGGTGGTCCACTTTCTAAAATTGGAATTGAACTTACCGATTCAGTGTATGAATTTTTATTGATTTATTTATTTAATTTTCACATAAAATAAACTAGACAGTAAAAAATGATTTTGTTTCTAAATTTCTTTTTTTTATTATCATTTCACTTTCAGATATGTTGTACTATGTATGAAAATTATGACCCGAATGGGTGCACGTGTCTTGGATGAATTACGGAAATCAAACGGAGAATTTGTGCGTTGCATTCATTCCGTTGGACAGCCACGTCCTGTTCTCAGTAAGTTTTCTTATAAGCTCAGTTAATTATATTATATTTTTCTCCTGAATATAAAATTACTACTGATGCAAATTTGATTAAATTTCAGCCAAAGTTATTAACAATTGGCCATGCAATCCGGAAAAAACAATCATTGCGCATCGTCCAGCGCAACGTGAAATTTGGTCATTCGGTTCCGGATATGGTGGTAATTCACTTTTGGGCAAAAAATGTTTTGCACTTCGAATTGCTATGAACATTGGTTATGATGAAGGTTGGATGGCCGAACATATGCTGGTATATTAGTATTTACTTGTTGTTGT